AGAACCTTTATCCTGGGGAGCCTGCTGATCAGCCATGAAGGCTGTGAAAGCCTGTGCTGACAGTAAAGACTGCAAGAACCAAAACCGGAGGTACTTTGCCAGTAGCTCTCTATCAGAGGGCTAAAATAAAGACATTAGCGCATCCGCTCACTCATTCCAAGCCATCACCCTGCCCCTGCACAGCAGGCTGCTCTCTAAGATCTCCTGGGCTAGCAGTACAACATAACATGATGCTCTATACAGAAGCAACACCTGGATTTTGCCAACTCATCCCCACAGCACAGCATGTCCCTGAGGAGCATCGTCACAAATGGGGAGACCCCTGTAGGATCCTGTTTCCTGTATTCGGATTGTGTGCTCTTTGGGCAACCTTCTGATGGCCTGGCAAACAATCCACTCACACCCTTAATTTCCTCTGCTCTTATCAGGACGCCAGGCAGACCACGCAGTGTGTGCTTCCTGTATTAGTTCACTTGATGTACATTAAGCAGGGCAAAGCTCAGCTTTGCTGTCAGATAATTTATAGAGGGACTATTATGAAAATAACGTCTGCATATTAACAGTAAGCCAGGCATTTCTCATGGCCGTGCAAACAGAAGAGACAGCGTGTAAGGAACTGCCTTTATTGTTTTGTCTAATCATTTGCAGCTGGTTTTTGAAGGTCCACTTTTTCCATCATTTACCATGTATGGGTTTTAGCAAACAAAGATGGAAGATCATTTTTAAATGCAACTAATGAGCCAGTCAATTTAATGATACACCAGATACACTGGTCCGGTAATCACTTGTGCCTTCAAGCTGTTGCCTAGCTAAAAGCAGCCTCCAGCCTGAGGCCATATGGATGAGCTGGCTGAGCTCTTTCTGGAGGTCATTATTTCCTCATCTCTGCTCTTCTACCAGCTGCAGTGCTTGCTGCCCTTTCTCTCCCTGCCTCACCTAGCAACCTTGTGCCCTGACATTTCCCTCCTAAGCTCTGCGTGTTTTCTGACATCTTGCTCAAACTTGTTCAGTTCTCACCTCATCCCTTGCAAAGTGATTTCTTTCCAAACTGGAGCAAAAATGTGCTGAGACAAAATCCTTCTGCTGAGCACGTCTCCACTGTCTCCAAGAAGCATAGATGGTCAGAGAGCCCTTGTAACAAACAGACAGGCTGGTGGGCGTTCTGCCCTCCTTTCTTTGTAAGAGTGTAACCAAGTGGGCTCACCTGCACCTGACCCTGCAAAGCAAGCCACACTGTCAATGCAAAGCAGAGCAGAGGAGGTTGTTGTGACCCAGCAGTAGCTTCTTTCAGCTTTGTCCTGCAGCTGAGCTCTGACAGCCAGTGAGTCTGCAGAAATATTCCAAAACTGCTTTAGGATCTGCACACCTGCCCTGAGAGCCAAGCTCTTCAGTTTCGCCTCAGTAAGACATAACAGTCTCTTAGCTACTTGTGACATGGGCTTGGTCGTTTGCTGCAAATTAAAGGGAGGTGATTGCAGCTCATCCCCTCAAAAATCACAGAATGGACTGTGACTAGTTCATGCTGACTTGCAGACAATCACGTAACTGTTGAAAGCAATGATTTATTTGGTCCAATTATGTCTTACCTTTAAACATGCCTATGTCAGCTGCAGTTAGATCTTTGCCCTGATGAAATCTGTTCTCCAGGTGCCCTGCCACAGCCCAGCTGCTGACCCTCCATCAGCAGGGACTGCCTACTGAGAGGCACCAGTGCTGCCTCTGAACCCAACCATCTTTTCTCCTGACATAAAGCACAGTATAGCTGTAACAGTGTGGTATAACCCTCCTGATCCCACAGAAATCCATTTACCCGAACCAACAGCACAGGCTTCTGTTGGAAGGTAGCTCCAGAGCTGGCAGCCAGCTCACTCTCCACAGGTGCATCATGGCATCATGTTGAGGGCTTTGCTCTTAGAGACACCTGTGTGCTGCCATCTATACACATAGGGTTTTCCTTCAGGCAACCCAGCACGCAGGCCTACACACACAGTGCAAGCACTGCACAGAGTCCTCGCACCCAGGACACCCTGCTGTGCATCAATGGATCTTTGTTTAGAGATCATGCCTTGGTATATCTAGATGTGCTCTGCAAGGGTGTTGTCACCCACAAGTGTCATACCTGTGCTCAGGTACTGCAAGGCCTTCAGGCCTTAGCAAAATGCAGAAGCCACAGAAGTTTAAGAAAATAACCTGCATCCCGCTTGTAAGTGGGAATGTAGTATAGCATAGGCTTGATGCTTGTATGCGTGGTGAGCAAGTAAAGGGGTTAGAGAGGCTAAAAGGGACACGTGCTAGAAAACGAATGGGTACAGCACCAATATATATGTGCTTCTAAAGTACATGGTTCCTTCCAGCATGAAAGTTACGTGGATCTTTTTTGATACAGAAGTGATATGCTCACTTCTTCTCATTTGCTGGTGGAAGTAACAGGCTTTCAGTGACAGAAGCACCCAAGAGGTTTAGTTACCCTACCTTCCTTTTTCTGTGATGTCATTTATAACCGTGTGGTTCTTTAAGAAATGAACCCTCGAGTCACCTTGAAAAACATGGTGTTGCATGAAAAGAGAGAAATGAAGGAAGACTATTTCTTTCTTTGTGGATAGAGAATACTTTTATCCAGCAGGCACAAACCCCAGTCCTTAGTTTACCAAGTTAATTCCTGTTTGGTGCTAGCTCTGAGGGAACAATAAGAGAACAGAAAGGGAAGGCACAAAGGCTTTTCCTAGGATGTTCACTTTGCACTGACAATCTCTAACAGAAAAGCAACGTGGAGCGTAAGCACTATTTTTGGAAAGATCATTTCTCATAACCAAATGAAAGGAACAAATTCAGCAGAGAAATAGAGGAACGGTGTGTTTTAGGAAAGCACAGTCCACAGCAGAAGAGCAAACAGGGATAGCTTTGCACATGTGTCCAGAGAGTCATCAGAGAGTGACTGCTCATCCCCGACACCATTTACTCACTGAGATAGGAAGCATAAATCGGCACCCTACTCAAATCAAGCAACCCTTCCCAACTGAGAGAGGTAGAAAAATCTGTGTATCAATGAATGCTAAAGCCTGAATATATATTTTTTTCCTCAAGAGCAGAGAAGAATCAACTCGCCCATGTGAAAACAAAGGCAAAAGAGTGGGCCCCTATCACCTGCAGAAACTATTTCACTCCTAAGAGAGAAACAGAAATGTATTTGGTGATGAAACACAGTGATTTAATAAGGCTTGACAAATCAAGACAGTGAATTAACAAGAGTCAAGTTGGCAAGGTACACTTGATTATTTACTGCACGTGGGGTAGGGTTAAACAAATTCAGCCAGGGACCCTCTCACTGAATCACGAGATTCAGAGTGGATCCCCTTTTTTTTCTAAACTGCTTGAATCATAGAGGTGAGAATCCCAGGTGCTGCTGAATCTACTCCCAGTCTGAGGCTTTGTCAGAAGGCACATAAGATATAATCTTAGTGCAGCTGACAAAACTTAAGCAAATGAATAATCACCAAGTATCTGTATCAGCTAGACATCCTACTGTCAAGGTGTAAGGGATCTCTGTAATCTCAATAGAATCCTAGCTGAAGGGGAGATCCTGTTGTGTGGCCTGCTGCCATTCAGGAGAGTTCAGGGAGCTCTTGATCTGCTCACTGCTTATGAAGTAAGATGACCGACTCATTAGTCACAGTTTTGGTGCATGCTCAATTGGCCTTCAGCTTTTGAACCAGGAATCTGCCATCAGTTCCCTGAGCACTAAAGTTTGAGACAGTGTGTGGTCATTTGCTTTGGTGTTATCTGTCCTGGGCATTTCATTGCCTGCCTTAACAAGGACTTGGGTGCAATGGCCAGGCCAAAGGATGAAGCTCTGGGGAGCACAGCATCACAACCCCATCTCCTGAAGGTCATCCCATTGACTCTAGAAACATCCAGGTGTGGGGTACAAGGCCCTTCCTCTGTATTTGGCACCTCCCCATTTATCTGAGCCACAGCAACCCAAGTATCCAGCAGCCAGATTCTGCTTTTTTCCACAACCCTTAGGGGGCCTCATGTGCTTTATGTTCCTTTGCAAAGAGACTGAAGGAGAAAATCCAAAAGTACAAGTGCTGCTGTAGAGAAAAGCACTCAACTCTGTATACCTGTCTGCTTCCTGTTAACAAAAGCACTCTGCCATTTTACCATCCAGATTTTCACTACATGCCACCTTTACAAGCTATGCTTTATTTCACGCATGTTAAAAAAATGGCATCTGAATTTATGGCAAAGGGAGCTACACGATGTATCACTGGGCTGCTTTCTGCAGATGCCAGCTAACATTTTGCCTTCCTGTGAAGTCAGGTGCTTGAAATTATGGCAGAAAGGGGGAAGACCTTGTCTTTTCACATCACCTAATTTTAGGCTAATTCTTAAGGCGCCTCGACAGCCAGTCAGTCCATTAAAAGTGACCCAGCTAGGATCTCAGATATTTGCATCATCGTCAAGAGGGCAGTTTTTCCTCCAGTCACAAACTGGAGAAAGGGAGCCTGTAGCCATCGAGGTTGAGTGTGCTGAGCTTGGATTTTGTGTGTTGGCTTTGGAGTCTGGAAAAAAGTAAATGCCTTTAAAAATGATTTTCCAGATAACACTTGGATTAGGAGTTTGACTTCACCTGCTTCACTTGCATATCAGTGGGAGTACAACAGGAATCCAGAAAATGAGAGTGAACGTGCACAAACAATTCTTACACGAGAAAGACTTTGTATTGGTTTTTGCATAGAAATGCCTGCATTCTAAACCAAGGATTCAAGCATAAATAGTAGATGAACTTGTGCCTTTGAAAATCTGCTAACCATAGTCATGAGTTTGTATGTTCTCGTTGTGTAGAAATGTGAATCGTTTTATGGAGAATTAGATTCCCTCTAGTTCATGCCAACCAAGAGATTTTGAAGCTTTTTAGGGATTAGTCAGCTAATCTCAACTAATAAAACCTGCATTTTGAATTCAATTTTGATTCCGCTTAGCACGAAGAAAAATTCAAATCGTATTTAAAGTTAATTTATTAAATTTCGAGTGTCACAACTGAGCATCATCTGCAAGGAAAATATGAACACTTAAAGATACTCATAGTTACATAGCATAGATTGTTGAATGTCTGCCTACTGTTTCAAAATATCTGTTGTATAAGGCAGAAGTCCTCTATGCAACAGCGTAGGACTGAAGACCTTTGAATGTTTTCCTGCCACGTGCTGTAGTAAATATATTCATTTTTTCTTGAATTTTCCATATCCTTTCCACTTTCTTACGACCAAACTTCCTCCCAGGCAATTTTAGGTTGTTATTTCCATTTCACTTCAGTGCCATAAGCGCTCTGGACTTGGCTCAGCAAAGAGCAAAAGTATGTGTGCAACTTAAAATATCATCCTTTCATAAGCTTGGCTACTCATATATTTTTTCCCATGGTTATAACTGATTTCACTAATGCTCAATAGCTCCCATTGCTGAAAATAGAACACTGCTAAACTACCATTACGCACATTAGTTGCACGTGCAGCATGTGTGAGTACACAAAAATGCATTCAGTTACAGTGTTTATATAAGTTAATGCACACAAATGAGCCCATGAAGAATACTGGAAAGATACCAGGCTGCTTACCTGTCTATTGCCACATCTAAAGAACTTCTTTTGATTCCAATTGAAGACTATCAGCCACCCAAAACATCCTTCAGCTGCATCTCATGAAGTCATTCCCATTGTTACAACATAATAAATAGATTCTTCCTCAAGAGATTTCATTTTATATTTACATGTATTATTGAATAATTATTTAAATGTACCTTTGGAATAATTAATCAAGATACCCAAGCAACTCTCCTTTTCTCAGTATTTTCAAGTAACATTTATGTGTTGGTTTTTTTTCTGCATGCAATTTCATTTAGATGAGACTGACAGAGAAAGGAATGCATTTTCTTTATTTTCACTTTTCTTTCCAGATTAATGTTATTTTGACTCTGATACATCAGATCACTGAAGCATTAAATAAAATTTGATGACAAACTGCATCTCTACAGGATTTAAGTATATGCTTTCGAGCTTTGCTGAAATTAGGAATTAATTCTTTTATTTGCTGTAATAAGAGACGAATTATCAGCAGAATTTATTTCGTGGTTACAATGCCCTAACTGGAAACTCTGACTTTTTTGAAGTTCTAGTGATGGAAGAATCCTAACAGCTGAAAAAATAGCTAGGTTTGTAAATAACATCAGTCATCCAAAGCCAAGATTAATGCCAAACTGGCCTTGATTTGAGACAAAAGCAAAAGTGTTTGTATGCTAGCTCTTTTTAATAGGAAATTGCTTTTAAAAATAATGCCAGGAGAAAGACAATGTCTTAAAAAAAAAAAGAAAAAAAAAACTGTTGCATAAAAGCTTGAAGTAACACCATATAAGCTTAAGAAAAAGAAATATTTCTCATGTAAAACTGATTTAAATTGTCATAACAAATTCACATTCACAAACATATTTTAGCAAAGACCACACATGTTTCTTGATTAATTTCAGTTAACATCAGAATTGCTATGCATAAATTAATTTTCTCTGTGCAGAGAATCCGATACAAAGTAGGTGTTCTGAGTACTGCAGGAGTAAATGATGAAATGGCTGTATCTCTCCCCAAAGTCCAGTTTGTTCTTCTGAAGCAAAATCTTCAATCTTTCTTACAAGATGAACAGCAGAGAGGAAAACATTTTAAAGGCTGGGTAACTCTCTGGGATTTTCACGTTCCCATGAAAGACAATTATCACATTACAGTTCCCTAGAATTTACTTTAAGTTTTAAATAACTCTTACTGATATTTGTAGGTCTTTAAGCACTGAACTTTGGCAGAAAAGAGAGAAATGACCGAAACAATCAGCAGACACAAGTTATGAAGAGAAAGCAGAGAATCTCCGTACAAAAGTGTGCTTCTTCTAAATATATATATAGTTTTAAGTATAACATTTTGAGGAAAATGTTGATCATCTTTACCAGACATGTCTGGCTGTCGATTTAGTTTCAAATTTCTGAGGATGCAAAAAACCTCAGAGGTTGTTCAGGATTTCACCTGCAATAAGATGACAACACGTAGAATCCTGTGCTTGGGTGTACCATTAACTTCAAGCCAACAATTCTTCATAGTGATGTCAATACAAGACAACTGTCATTTGTCTTGGTTCTTAAGCACACTGAACACCATGCCTGCTGCTGATCTATTCACCTCTAAAGGAGTGAGAATGGAGCACTAGCCATTTTCCTTGGTGGGCTCTGCAAGAAGTTTCAGAAGGTGGGGCTGAGATGGAGCTTCCCGGTCTGGTTGGTAGAAAAGTGCAGATATTTCTATGAGTTTCAGTCACAACAATTTTCCTACACTTCCTTCAAACAGTGCTTCAAGTTCAATTTGTTCCTGAATGTAATTTTGGTCTTAACAGCACAAAAATCAACAAAAATGACATTTAGTTTCTCTTCGTCATAATTTACCAGCATTGATGATAGGGAAACTCACTATGTATTTTATATGATTAATGAAATCATGCTCAGGGCTGTATTTCACAATCTACAAACAATTGCTATTACTAACAGAGAACTGGTAAGAGTAATGGTGTTGATGTCAGTAAGAGAGCTAATACTGGGGATCAGTGGCTTATTTTCTAATGCAAATTAAGCCACAGCCTATCAGGAACTTGCTAAGTCAAAAAGATGATAATATGCTTTCAAGCATTAAGGCTATGTAAGGGATTCACGGACACAATAACAGCTGCTGAATTTTTCAGTAAACTAGTAATCTTATGTTAATGTGTTTCATATTAAAATGGCTCCATTGATAACAATGATTTCATGCTAATTTCAGTCTGAATCTGGGCCTCTTCATTTTTTTTTCATTAATAAATTAGATTACACTTGAACTGAAGTGTGATCAAATTGATCTGCTCCGTGTCTGACGTGCTGCATATCTGTGCTTTGCTCTTTTTTCACTGTAATAGCAATCCATTGCATGGTGAACTGGTGCAGAACAACCAGCAAAACTTACTGTTGCAAGTGTGAATAAGCTGCAGCGCTGCAGGCTGCCAACCCATCTTCACAATGCTAAAAAAGGGCTATTTCAGAATGCAAAAAAAAAGTTATTCCAATTAATATACTGAAAGCTACTACCCAGTAATATTAGGACTCTCAGTACATCTTCTTTGCTCTCCTTTAAGTGAGCAAAGCATTCTGCTTCTATCTTAAGGTTACACTTGGAAATAGAATATATCATGTGGAATTTCAATGGGAAAAACTACTTATAGTATGCAAGTCACAAATGATTTCTCTTTTCTAAATGAATCTGCAAAGAAGTTCTGATATTTAACTTATTTACCCTTTTTCTTGACAATTGTCATTTGCATAGTTGACTCTGCTACTGATGGTTACATTTTATACCACAAAATAGTTTATTTCCAATGTTTCTAACATTACCATGTAGTAGTATTATGTTTTTTCTCTCAAATTCCATCAGAAATTTCACATCTTGTGAAAACAATTCAATGTTACTTAGTAGATATTAAGGTTTATGTCCTATTATTCTATATGCCATTATCATCTCAAAACTCAATATGTGTGTACACAATCTACCTTTCCATTTTAAGCTAAAAATCATAAAATAACATGCTTGAAAGTATTATTTCACTTCCCACTGATTACATTTCCTTATATCTATGCAACTGCAGCATAGCCATTGCTCTGGTCCTTTTCTTCACTTTCCTGTGGGCTAGTGATTGTCACCCTTGGATTTCTGGATGTTTTTTCATGATGGGAATCAACCTAGAAAAAAAGGATAGTTACCTGATGAAGTTAGCAGTACCTAAGATTTCACTTTACTTCAACAGTGTGATCATCTTGTACTACAAATTCCATGAGGAATTCTTAACACACACACAGACACACACAAAAAAGATGCTTTCTGACAGTGATCAAATTAACATTTTAGTTTAGCAGAAGTTTATACACCTTCCAAAGGAGAAAGCACTCAAGTTAGAGGTTTTTCCCCCCCAGGTTGTCAAACACCCAGTTACCCACATATCCTTTTAAAGTGAATGTGCACTCACTTTCTCCATTGCCATAAATCACTTCAGCTTCTCTAAAAACAAAATAAAACAAAAAATCCATTGCTATGTCAAATATAAAACAAATTTGGGAAGGAAAAAAAAATGTTATGTTACTCCGTTCTCTTAACTCCCTTGAGAAATGTTTTTGGGTGTAATATAGGAACAGATGAAAGCCTAGTTGCAAGGAAGTGAGAAACCATTCCCAGTGACCCCAGAAATAGAGGAGGGGTCATTTTTTCAGCAGCTTATAGGCAGAAAACATGCAGCAATTTGTTCAGCTCCTAATACTCGAGAATACAGGTCTCCCTGGATCTGGATTTTTTTTCTATTAAGCAAAGGACTCCATTTTCTGTGTTCTGTTCATCTGACTTTCAAGGCAGTCCGCTTGGTTCCGGGCTGCACACCTCCAATTAAGCTAACAGCATGTTGCCAGCTTCCCAGAATTAACAGGATATTTGATTTTAACCTGACTAAAGCACCTTGCTTTCAAGGCCTTATTCATTTCCATTGTTTGATCCTATTTCTTGGAAAAACAAATGAAACTTCCACACAGTAATAGCAAGTTCTCTTTATGAAATGCAGCTTCTGCGAAAATCAATTCAGGCAAACAACAACAACAAATCAAGGTGCTGTGGTTTCATGAATACATCCTCCTGCTCTGTCCTAAGGATAACACAGTGAGGAAGTGTAAAATGATTGTGCCTTTCAGGAAATTGCAAGATTTCTCTTTTTGAGAGCTCAGCATACTCAGGAAAGTAGGATATGCAGGTTCATCAAATAGTGAGAAGCATCTGCTTTCTCAGTTGGAGGGCATATATTGTAACTAATGATGTTACCAACTTATGTAGATAAGAAAGCTTTTCCCACATATTCAGTTCTATTAAGGTCTCTCCAAGACTTACCTGGAGTGAGATACAGACTAGCTGAGACGAAGCCTAAAGCTGACAAATACAGAAAAACAAACTGAAAGAATAGATGGTTACCTGGTCCTGACTGCCAGAATAATCCTCTTTTCCATCCTCTTCATGCTGGAGATCATCGTGGCCATTCTGCTCCATCAGCCCACCACTGTCTTTATTTATCTTGCCATTTAAATGGGCGAGCTCCTCTTCCTCTGCCTGGTCAACATCCTCTGTTCCTTCTGTTTTGTGTTCATAATTCCCATTTAATTTATTCTTATTTTCTCCTGTGTTTCTTTTCGTAACAGTTTCCCCACTTTCCTCTCCATTTACTTCTGGGTGTTCTTCCTTCTGTTTATATGCTTCCTCCTCTCCTCTGTCATCTTCCTCTTCTGCATTTTCTTCTTCATCCACAGTTTCTGCTGGCCTCTGAAAGGAAAAGCAGCAACATTACGAGGCATTTTTAAACAGAATTCTCCAAGGCAACTCTGAAACGTGACAGACATCAAAATCACGATTACATCATTACTAGGGAGTAAGTATGCTAACATGAGCTTTATCTTCACAGAGAGAAAAACGATGCTCCTGTCGGCACCTCATACTGCGCTCTCATTCCACAAACAATGCTAAAAGCTAATGAGATTTAGAAGAATCACACGGGGTTAATTTATTTGACTATATTAAAACTGGAATGAGCTAGATTTAATTATCCCAGCAACAGTATTTTGCACCAGCTATTCTGATCTAATATTCTGGCATCTGGTACATATATATATATTTTTTTTTCTATAAAATAAAATGTTAAAATAAAATAGCATCACTAGCACACAAAGTGTTCTGAAGTCTTACCTATGAACCAGACCACACCATGCCAATCAGCCTGGTCACAACTTGTCTTCTATGCATCCACAGAAAAGCAGCAAGAGAGATGAGATAGATAGACCCATAGGTCTCTTCCATACTGTCTCTTCCCAAAGACCTCTGTGTGGGTTTGTATAGTTAGGACTTGTTTGACATTTAGTAATTAATTTTTCCTACATAATCAAATAATTATCAGATAATAAAATGTTGTCCCATATTGAAGAATAAGCAGAAAATCACTAGGGATAAAGCTGCTAGCAGCTTGATTTTGTGACAACCTGGGAGACTGATGCACATGTTGTCTATTTTTTGCCATTTGTCTTCCAGTTTCAACTTTCAATGTTCACCTGACTATTCAGTGAACCAATGCCCCTTCTGTCAAGATGACTTAAGTACTCGTGCTCAAGTTTGAATGAAAATAAAGAGTATAAGTCCCATGGGAATGAAATCATATCTGCCTCCCACACAGCCTCATCAGACTAAATCTAAAGCAAGCAATCTGAGAGCAAAAGATAGATTCTCTTTTAATCAAATGTATTGGGAGTTCTACTATCATTAGCAGCTCCTTTAGGCAGGCTGGTTTATCCTACAGCTTGTAAGTTCTGTCTCTTTTTCTCACTAACAGTTTCATTTCAAAAAACAATTCTCTCATTTTCTCTGGCATATTAGCAAGAGCCACTTTAAGAATACCAGCAATTGATTGAAGCCTTTTGACAAGACACCGTGCTTTTGCTTTGACGTTTACGTAGCAATGTAAGACTATTTCACAAAGCCCATGCAAAATATCCCATTGACTTCGAATATTCCGTGAGCTTCAAAAAGGACAAGTTATTTCATCGTGATAATCCACAGAATGACAAGCTACTAGAAACATTACATGGTTACCTGACCATGGTATAAATAATGGCTCCTAAAGCTCTCTTTGAAGCACAGTGGGTTCTGTACGATTTTATTTAAGCCCTCCTAGCTATATCTCAATATAAAATCAGCCCTGTTGCTTCTGAAATGAAAATTAAACAAGCCAAATCTTTACAGACACTTTCAAAGAAGCTGCCATGCAAAGCAGACTTGAGCCAACTCGTATAACTATCAGCACATCAGGACAGCAAAGAAAATGCAGATTTAGCCTACCTACTGATTCGCCACCTATGAGCTACTGATTTATTTCCAGTGCACAATGATAATTAGCTGCTTTGAGTTCTGACTCCGAGCAAGAGTGGACTGCACAAATTAAATGCACCACATACCCATATTTAAAAGTAAGCATTTTTCTTAAGGAAAACTGCTTGCTATGACATTACAAATAGTGGCTATATCTGTTAGACTTCACCCTGTCTAGGGACTAAACTAAGTGAAAAACAGTGTATTGAACAATAGCCAGAATCCCCCCGGAAGCTCATAGGGAGCTAACATCATATCACATTCAAATTGCAAAGTGAACAAAAACAAAACGTCACACTTACAGGCAAGAATTGGAAAGCAAAATGCTTTCTTTTAATCTCATTTCAAGTCACACTAGATTATGGACATGGAAGAAGTGATCCTTTGCTCAGTAGTCTAAAATACAGAACCATCCCCACTGCACGGGAAAACCTAGGTAGGTTTCAAAATGAGGATGGCCACAGACACTGCATTTCAGAATGAGCTGCAGATTGAAGTCAGAACAGTTGAGAAGGAACTGAAGTCCAACCCACCCTCCAAATCACACACTGGGCTTTACATAAAAATTGTGACACTCAGTACTGAAATGTTGTTGATTTAATAATGTGAAGTACGCTGTCTTCTCTGAGAAAGAGAAATACTTGGCAAAAGTTATTTCATTTTCATATTTATGGAGATAGATTTTTTTTAATAGTCTATATATATATACAGGGAAGAAAAGAGAAAAAGGGAGAAAGATTTTTATGGTTCAAAGCTTATAAATACTACAGATGCATAACTACCAGTTCCAGTGATTTTAGTGAACCTGAAGAAGGGAGCTAAAGAAAATATTAATATCTTTCTGGGACAGGGCTTAATTCAGGGTCTCCTGTAATCAATGAGAACCTTCTCACAGAATTTGACAGACTACAATAAACCATCTAGCTACTGCTACACCAAATGTCCATACGTTTATATAAAAGTTACTTCAAATTGTGTTCTCACTCTCATAGGTCACCTTCTAAACAGCAAGAATATTCACAGTAAGAGCTTCTTCTGTTTGTAATGCTTTGGCTGGATGGCTAAGACAGATGTAGGAGGCTGCTCTCCTTTGCATTTGAGTCAGGCTTTGAGCCAACGTGCTCACTCACAGAAAGTTACACATTACAAGCTCTTCTGAGTGAAACACTGGCTGGATGGCCAGGCCCAAAGAGCTGTGGTCAATGGAGTTAAATCCAGTTGGCAGCCAGTCATGAGCAGCATCCCCAAGAGCTCTGTCCTGAGGCTGCTTCTATTTAACATCTTTATTAACGATCTTGATGAGGGGATCAAGTGCACCCTAAGTAAGTTTGCATATGACACCTAGTTGGGAGGAAGTGTTGATTTACCAAAGGGGAGAAAAGCACTACACAGGGACCAGGATAGACTGGATTGATGGACCAAGGTTAACTTTATGAGTTTCAATAGAGCCAAGTGTCAAGTCCTGTATTTTGGTCACAACAACCCCAGGCAACCCTACAGGCTTGGGGAAGAGTGTCTGGAAAGCTGCCTGATGGAAAGGGACCTTGGTGTACTGATGGACAGTGGGCTGAACATGAGCCAGCAGTACGTCCAGGTTGCCAAGAAGGCCAACAGCATCCTGGCTTGTATCAAGAATGGTGTGGTGAGCAGGACTAGGGAAGTCAGCCTTTCCCTGTACTCAGCACCAGTGAGGCCTCACCTTGTCTTACGGACACACAACAACTCTAACCTGATTGCAGTAAATCTAGAACTGGAGAAGTGTGAGGTGATTATCTGCTTATTCCTTGTGGAAATTTTCATAGAGGACTAAACAACTTCCAGGAACGGACAATTTTTCAGAGTGTATGGTAGACTAACATCATTCTTCCAGCAGCAAGAATTACCGATAATGAGGCTCTATTCTGCCTTATTTGAGACAGCAAGAAAATAGGGAGTACCACTTCTTCTTGTACAGCTGGTTACAACTTTCAAATGTAGGGTCCATTGCAGTCACCTAGTTGAAATTACAGAAGTTAAAGTAACTTCCTTTCAGATCATATTTTCATATTTCTAAGTATTTTCATATTTCTCACCTGCCATGGGCAATCACTAAAATGGCTAACTAAGAAAAGAACTGCATATATTTATTCAAAGGTACAGTCAGTCAAAAGCATATTGAACTGAAGCTGCACATCACAACTAACTGAATCCAAGTTTCACTTTGTATTTAAGTAGTACAATCACTTGATGATATTTTTAATCTCAGCAATACCAGAGTGGTTAAAAAAAGGGAGATGTATTCTAGTTACACTCATCATGCCACAATTCATTAGGAGCCACAGTACCAATTGCCATCATCATTCAAATGGAGTAAGTCAGGAAATTTTTAGACATGGAAGCATTTGACTTCTCAACCTCTAAGGATGCTAATGCATTCTCTCAGTGGGCTTGTACACAGTCGATACTAGATTACTAAGAAGTGCAGTAACACAAATCATTTAAGACAAATTGTTTTATACCATTAATGTAAAACACAGTTTTCCTTTATTGAACCCACTTGGAAATATTTACTTGGCTAACAGTCACAGCAGACAAACAATGAGGTAGGCAACAAAAAGCTTAATGGCCACAAATACCAGCATGAATACATGTCATGAATGTAGTATCAGGAATGTGCAAAGCCAATTGCACTGATCAGCTCCAGAACAGAGCTGCCATTCTTCCAAGGGAGCCAGGAATGCTTTGGAGCTGCACAGCACAGATTCTGAAATCAAAACATTTTGTTCCTGAACCAGATAAGGTTGCTAAGTGACAACAGTTCTCTTCCACATCATTTACAAAACTCAAGTACTTAAAAGCAAGCAAATGAATAGTTGAGGGTTCATCAGTCCTACATTTCACACATAATGAATGTGATGCAAAAAATACAATAAAGAGCCTTAAACTCCAACATCTTTACGACTCAGATGTTATACTTTAATGAAAGAAATGAAGACCTGAGTCCACAGAGTATAATTTTTCGTAAGATCATAGCTCCCAAAAGAGTAAATGAAGTTACTTAGAAGTCAATGTAACTTCAAGCAGGGTAAAAAGCTTTTCAAAATCCATTCCTTGGTTTCATTGTGTGGCAACTGGGAGTGTGCATAAATCCCTGATCACAAGAAGGCCACAGCTTAGAAAACACCTGATCAGATACTTGTTTTTGTAAGACGTACCTAAGTTTAAAATAGTCTGCACACATTACACTGACAGTTACGTATAGTTTTCTCATAATATACTCTTGGAAAATGTTCTTAAGATCTGCCCAAGCTTCACAACTTCCTGCTATAAACAATGAGAAAATTTATAAGCTTCTTGAAAGAAGCCCTAAGCTTGCAGATATATGTAAGTTCCCCCCCCCACAAACAGACTCTTCTACAGTGAATGAAAAATGTCTTAGAAGTTAAGCAATTTGAGAGATTGCCTGTTCTAGAATTCCTAGGCTTTTTCAAGACAGGTGCACGTGGAGAGAAAACTTCTTTCCAAGTGCTATCAGCACCAATTTTACAATGGAATAGTGCTTACAATGCAATAGAACCTGTGCCCTCTAACAGTTGGCTGTGCAGGTCTATAAAGATCAGGTCTTGTTGCCATAGCTTCAGAAATCACAATTATCTGGTGGAAGAAGCTAGGGAAGATCTCTGTTCTCATTCTGAGTTGCAAGCAACCAGACAGAGGAAGCTGTCATATCTCACACAGACAATTAAAAAAAAACAATTAAGTGTAAACCAGGGCAGCTAGAATTAAGGCATTTTCCTGTGTGTTTTATCTGTTGGCACTTAGGACCCAGAAAATTTAAATTATAGTAGCTATAGCAAAACTTGAGCATATTAGAAGTTTTGTTCTTATTCTTTCCAAATGCCATTTTGAAGCCATCATGGATGTAGTGCAAAATATTGCCCAGTGAAAAGCTCCAGTGTTTTTAATCAAGGAATATATCTTCAAGCAGTCAGCCTGTTTTAATGTTTAACCAATGCAAAGTTCAATACTTTGCTTTCAGCAGCAGGAATATTGGAGTTTTGTTCTGTTCACGGAGGTGAATCTTGGGTCTGTAAAGCAAAATGTAAACCCCACAATGAGAATCAAATGAAAGGTGCAGATTTTCTGCTACTGATGAACTCTCTCTAGAGAAAGAAAGCACCAAAAGGGATATCCTCAATTTCACATCACTTCACAGCCCAGGAAATTGAGAATAAGAGCGGCATCAGGAATCAGTGGACATTTGGAATAATGGAAAGCAATGGGTAGTGAGAGAACCCAAAGCATTAATGTCTACAACAGCCCCTGAAGTCAGTGCTCATTAGATGGATTTAACATTCAGTGATTTTTACAGATACAGAAAGAGAGAAGAAAGTTGGATGATGAATCTGGAGGTGAAAAAAAAACCAACAATTCAGATCCATTCAACATCATTTAGATCTTAATAATCAATATCACATCCCCCAAGGCAAAGAAAATTGGCACAGCAACATGCCTGAATTCTTTGAACCTGCACCTCCCAAGGGCTTATTGCAAGAGAACACATGGAAATTGATAAATCAATGGAAACTTCCAGTGTTATTTCAATACCACTGCTACCAAATGCTTCTTCTGTATTTGATAACTTACATGAAGTAGTAATTTGTACCAAAATTGTATTAGTTGGAAAAGTTTCTCTCTCAGAGAGAGCTACTTTGAATATATCTATATTATGAACAGCAATCTCAACGTAAAATATTTAATCAGCATTTCAAATACGAAATTTATATTGTTTCCTCCTTCCTTACCAAGATCTACAGCAGAACCACACCGTTCTCTTATTATTTGCACAGTTGGTTTCAGAGTCTGTCACCAGACCCCATGGATGCTGCCACCAGGATGTAAATAACCAACTTGGAGTAGGTTTGCATGTCAAAGGCAAAACTATCCATTTTTTATTCAGAAGCCAAAGTCTTGGTACAGAACACAGAACAGAAGGATATAGTTTGGGTTTAGGCAAAACACTT